CTGGAGAGCTAGTTGGCAAGAAAAATCTCGACGGACCTTTCGGTGACTTTTGGTCGGTTGAAAATTTTGTTCTCGAAATTCCTCAATTCGTTTGAGCTCTAGTATTTTTTCCCGTGATATTCGATCTTATTCCCGCTCGCCATCTTGATCTCAGCTCGATCGGGTACCTTTTACTGCCAAAAAGCACACTGGCGGGATCGGCCGTTTCGAGTTATCTTGATACGCGTTGTCGGCATTGTGGACTTAACTCGAGATACAGGACAGCTACAGAGCTGGTAAGCACACCTTATCGATTCAGAATGATCAGGCGCGTTCGTCTGTTACATCCAGAGGTATGAACTCGATCTGCTAGCTGAGCTAGGTCCGCAAACCTGTTCGTATTATTCGAGTCATCTTGACAGGCGCTCTCGGCTTTCTGTACTTAACTCGAGCTATATGACAGCTACAGAGCTGATACTTAGAGAAACCGATTCAGAATCATCAGTCGCGTTTGTATGTTGAATCGAGAGCTCTGAACTCGGTCGGCTGCCCGGTCTAGAATCGCGAAACTATTCGTATTGTTGGAGTTATCTTGAGAGGTGCTGTCGGTTTTCTGTACTTAACTCGGGCTGTATGGGGGCTAGAGTGCTGGTAGTCACAGGAATCGATTTGCAGACATCAGGGGCGTCCGCCTGTCGAATTCAGAGCGCGGAACTCGGTCTGCTGCGACTTAACTGAGGCTGTAGGGGGCTGCAGGGCTGGTAATGACAGGAATCGATTCGGAGACATCAAACGCGTCCGCCTGTCGCATTCAGAGGTCTGAACTCGGTCTGATACTCGAGCTAGGTTTGCCAACTATTCCTATTCTTCGAGTCATCTTGAGAGGTGCTGTCGATTTACTCGCGTAACTCGGGCTGTACGAGAGCTACAGAGTTCGTACAGAAGACAATCCAGAAGCATCGGGGGCGTTCTGCTGCTCCAATCAGAGGTCTGAAATCGCTTGGGCTAAAAAACTATTCGTTCTCTGCAATTTTTCCGACATTATATATTGTCAGGAAGCTCTACGAGTCCCCCGGCGGTAAGAAAGGTTGACGGTTGACCGCCGGCGCCCAGTTGGCCGACCCGGCCAGAAAGGACAAAGTGATCACTTTTGGGTGGTTTTGCGAAAAATTGAAGGATATTTGACAATTCATTTTGAGAAAGCAGATTTTTCGCACCTGTAGTGGGTTAGGGCGCGCTCGCCAGTAAAATTTTCAGGTCCATAGGTGCAGTATTACTATCAAAACACTTGGCCGAACCGAAGTTGAATAAACACAGAAAAACATGATTTTCCGAGTTTCTCAGGTCTTGCTCTAGACGCATTCTTCATGCTTACCGAGAAGCGCCGTCTGAGGAAAGAGCTCTACGAGGGCCCCAGCGGTGATCTGGTTGACGGTTTTCCCGCGGTTCCCAGTTCAGGCAAGCTCCGACCTGGGCAGGTCGTTAAACTGCTTCCCAGCGGGAATGCCACCGCGACCTGAGCAGGTACCTCGTAAAGCTCTTCGGCATCGATGAGCTAGAGGAATTCCGGCGCAGGGTCGAGCTAGTTGATCGACCCGGCCAGAAAGCACAAAGTGGTAACTTTCGGGTGGTTTTGCAAATATTTGGAAGATATTGGTGTTTATTTTTTGGGAAAGCAGATTTTTCGCACCTGTAAACGAATATGAGGGCCTCTCCGTCTCAATATGAGCTCTGTAGGCGCACATTTACTATCAACACACTTGGAGGAACCAACTTCATCTCGACATGGAAAAAATCAATGTTCAATTTTTGGAGAAGTACCTCCAGAAGCTCTCTCTTTCGACTCTTAGCTCTCTCACGCGTGAACAGAGCTCTACGAGGTTCCCGGCGGTGACCAGGTTGACGGTTCACTGCCGGCGCCAGTCGTTAAACTGCTCGAGCGACAAAAGGAACAAACCGAGGGAAAGGAAAGATAACGAAAAGAGAAGGGACCAGAGATAAAAAAATAAACAGCAGGAAAGAACAGAGACGGGGGAGAACAGAGATGAAGGACGAAACGGAGAGAAAAAAAATCGAAAAGAGAAGCAGCAGAGAAGGACAAGACAGAGGCGACGGGAGAGAGAGACAAGAAAGATAAAGAAGACAGAAACAGGAAGGAAGGCAGCCGGAGCAGAGCAGCGACGACGGAGACGACAGCGACGGCACGCCCCGACGCCCGCCGCAGCGCCGCGCGGCCGCCAGCGCACCCCTGGCCCCGCGGGGCCAGCCGGGGGGGGCGCGCACGGCCGGCGCGGCGCCTAGGCGGCGCTGGACGGGCTCTCGGGCTCCTGGCACTGGCCGGAGGCTCGGGAGCGCGAAGCTCTTCACTCCGGTCCAGTTCTCGGACCGGAGATCTCTTTCTTGCCTCGCCGCGTCCTTGGAGCTCTATAGCGCAGCCGTACCGGGGTGCTATGGAGACCTTGGAGCACGACATCGGGAGCCGTGCCGAGCCTTTGTCGTCTCGGGCGGGGGCAAGTGGCGACTGGTGGACCGAAGGGCACAGCCGTACCGGGATGTTATTGTAGGGGCCAGCACGTACTCGTCCCGGGCGCCGTACTGGGCCCGAACCCTCCACCCCAGGCCGATAGGCAACCCTCGGCCGTACTGGACAGGGTAGATCAGATTAGCTTTGAAGGGGCGGGTGTACGAGGCACAGGGCTGCGTGCTGGGAGGGAAAAACGCTCGCGAATTTTTCGCGTGTGTTTTTCTGCCCGCGCGCGGTCAAGGCGGCGTATTTCTCCGTGCAAATACCTGCTGGCAGGGGAAAATGCTCGCGGATTTTTCGCGGGCATTTTCTTGTCCAGCGAAGGCTGCCGAGTTTGGAAAAGAAATGTATGAGGTGGATACGCTTGCAATTTTTTGCGTGCATGCTCCTGCTCGGCGTGTGTTTTCTGGATTGGCATGTCATTGTCTGGAACACCGGGTTATAAGAGGGGTACGAACGTGAATTTTCTACACGATTTGCCCGGTCCGGCGCGCGTTCTCTGGCAGGGATTCCTCGAGGCTGGCGGCGGCGTCCAGAACGCGCCCGGTGGCGTTCCAAAATGCTTCCCGGGCGTCGCAAATCGGCTTGGAAGCGTGCGTACACGGCTCGAAGATGACGGAGAGAAAAATCGGAATGTGATTGTGACAGCGGGCCGGAAGGAGAAGGAGAAGGAGGAGAAGGAGACAGAGCAGGGGGAAGAGGAGGAAGAGGAGGAAGAGAAGAAGGAAGAGCAGACGAAACAGCAGCAGCAGAAGGATAAGAAGAAACACATGGCCTTGGACGAGCAGGACAAAGAGGGGGACGAGGAGCAAGAGCAGGAGGAGGAGGAGGAGGAGAAGAAGGAGGAGAAGGAGGAGGAGGATGAGGAGAAGGGGAAGAAGGAGGAGGAGCATGAGGAAGAGGAGGAGAAGGAGGAGAAGGAGGACGCAGACGGGGGCGGGGCCCGGGCGGGTGGTGTCGCGTCTCTGGGGTGGTGCGCGGATCGCTCGGCGCCGGCCCGGGAGTTGCAGGCGTGGGACGACCGGGTGCAGGCGTGTTTGCTCGCAGAGCACGACGTGATTGACGAGGAGGTTGTTGATAATTCCGCGTTGGAGGCGGCGGAGTGCGAGCAGAAATCGCTCCGGAAAGCGTGGCGCGCGTCCTGCCGGCGGTCTCGGTGTGCGCGGCGGGAGGCGGAGTGGTTGCGACGGACGGAGGCGGCAGCCGAGCGGAACCAGCAAGTTGCAAACCGTGTGCTGCACTCCGTCGTGCCCCGCCTCCTGCTGCGCGACGCGTCGCCAGAGCGGCCCTCATGAATGGGCGCGTGCAGCAGTTCTTCATCGCGCGAGCGGCCCGTGCTTCCGGCTCGGAACGGGCGCCGGCGCGCGTCCTCTGCGCCGCCGCCGCGGCTGCGCCTGACGCGTCGTTGTGGACCGTGGGCCATGCGGCTCTGCGCGCTGCCTGCGTTCTCGTTGCTTTCGGCGTGTGTTCGCCAGAGGAAGAGAGCAGAGTGGTGATCACGCGGCGGGTCGCGGTGGCGAGCTGGTGGCGGCAACGGGATGTGTTCGCGCGGGAGGGTTCGGATTCGCTTCATCTGGGCGATCGTTCGGCTGCGGCTGTAACCGCCAGATGTTTCTGCTGCGCGCTTCATGGGCTCTCGGCGCGGACGTGCGGCCGCCGCCGCGTTTGTGCGCGCAGGTTCTCGCCGGGGGTTGGTATCGGCGGAGCGAAGTGTCGGGCGGTGCGGGGGTCCAAGGGCTCTGTCGGGGACTTGGCCTTGCGCGCTGCATGCGTCATGATCGCTCTGGGCGCGTGTTCGGAGGGGCTGAGCGGGGCTCAGCTCTGTGGCGATGGGCCAGTGTTTGTTGATGATCTCCGTCTCGTGCGTGCGCCCCGGCCGCGTCCGCGCGGTGGTCGCGGGCGGGGGTGCCGTCGCGCTCTTGCTGCGTCCTGTCTCGGCCCTTGGCGTGGGAAGTGCTTGCAGAGGGCCGTCGCTGATTTCCTGGGTGGTGATGCTGCGCGGCATCTCGCGCGCGCGTGCCAGAATCACGAGGGGTCCGGCTGCTCTGGGACAATGCTGGAGCGCTGGAATTTCGAGGTGGTCGCGTCGTATTTGCGCTCTGGTTCCATGCGCGTGCGCGTGTTCTCAGCGCCATCCGTGGAGGCGTTTGAGGCGCACGATGGACGTCGTGAGTCCTGGGTGTTGGGCGATGCCGGAGGGTTCTGCGTTGGCTCGCTGCTCTGGCTCGATTCGGGCCACGCAAGTGCGCTTACTGCTTCAGCGATGGCGTCGGTTGCTCGTCATTCCGAGTGTGTTCACTCGGCCGGCCCGGAGTTCGCGCCCTGGCTCCGCGTTGTCGTGCGTGGTCGTTCGCGCTCTCGCTCTCGCGCTTCCAGGTTTGTTGAGGCCGTGCAGGAGGGCCATCAGGCGTCGTCTGTGTTCGATTTCGTTTCGGGGCAGAACACAGCGGGGGATCAGCGGGGGCGCTCTCGGGGGAGCGCTCTCGATGCGGCGGGCATGTCTGGTACGCCTCCCGTGCTTGTGTCGGCGCTCCGCCGCAGCGACCGGAACTCCATGGGCCGGCTTCAGACATCCTGGGGGCAGGTCTGCGCCTGCGATGGGACGTCCGACGAGTGTAAGTATGCTTCGGTGTCCTCTACCGGTTGCCCGCGCATCGGTCCGTGTCAGAATCGCGTCACCAAGAAGGGCGATCGCTGCGGGCCGTGTCGCGGGAAGCGGCATGGCGGGTTACGTGAGGGAGCTTTCGGTGCGGCGTCTGGGGTGCGCGGGGATCTTGTTGAGCGCGTTCTCAGAGGGACCGACGCTTTCGAGTCCTTGCCCCTTGCTCTCCGTGAAGATCGAGATGTGGTGATACGAGTGGTCTCTCATCGTGGTTCTGCGCTGGCTTCTGCGGGGGCGGGGTTCCAGCATGACGTCGGCGTTGTGCGAGAGGCACTTCGTAATGATGTCTTTGCGTGTGCTCACGTCCCGCAGGGGCTTCGGCAGGACGAGAGCGTTCTCGAGGAGCTGCTCGGGCACATGGAGGAGACCGGGGGCGACCATTTGCCCGACGAATGGGAGGTGCTTCCAGCAAACGCGAGGGTGCGCGTGCGCGACGCCCCAGCGGTCGCGAAGGCCGTATCGAACCAGCACGAGCGCGATCGGAATCGCACAAACGCCTTGCGGCACTTGTGTCCCGACGGAAGTCTCCGGCAGGGACTCAGGAATGCTACCGGACAGCGGTTTGCGGTCCCGTCTGTGTCTGAGTATCAGTTTTTGTCGTCCCTCGCCAAGAAGTACAAACTCAAAGAGGAGTTCGTGCATCTCAAGTGCGTGTGGTTGGTGCACGTTGCTGCGGTCATGTCAGGGTCCTCTCCGCAGGGCTTCGATGATTCCGACCGTGCGGGGGCCTCCTTCGAGGATGAAGCTCTTGTGTCACGCTCGTTGTGCCAGCCGCGCCTGCGGCCATCGTTTGAGCGCGGCATTTCGAACGGGCGCATCACGATCTTGGGGACGTTTGGAAGGAGACGTGGCCGTTTCGCCGCGGGGTCCGTGTCTCCGGTTCCAGATGTTTCAAAGGACACTCTGGCGACGCGAGTGCTTCGTCTCTTTCGCGGTGAGCTCTTCTGCTCGTCGGAGGTTTTCGCTACTTGGGTGTTCTACGACTTGGTCTTCTGGTTCCTGGCGGACATTGATGGGTTCGAGGCGCTCCTGGAGGTCACTGGTGGTCTACTGAAGGACGTGCCCGAGTGGATTCGACGCGCCCGCCTGGTCATCAGCGAGTGTCCGCACGCCGAGTATTTCTGGGGGTCCACGAACGATGGCCGGCGGAGTTTCCCCTTGCAGATCGTGCGTCGCCGCATCGATGACCTTCGTTGGAAGCCAGCTTGGGCTGGGTCGATGCCCTCCGACATGCCTGTGTCGCGCGTGTTGGCCTTTGTGGCCCTTCTGGGCGACTGGCATGCGGGGGCCTCGCGGATTGCGCAGAGAGTGCTGGCGTTCAAAGCCCAGAAGAGGGAGTTGGCCTCTGCTGCACAGGAGATCGCTCTCGATTATTGTCTTCCCGGCTTTTCTCACGCTGGAGACATGCGAAGGTTTGAGTACTACTGGCCGAAGTTTCCTCTCAGCGACCTGGTCCTGTACGCGCAGGAGTCCATGCGCCTGTTTGACCATGATCGCAAGGGACTTCGAGGGCGTCTGCATTTGCCGCAAAGGAATGTTGAGGCTCTCGCGGCCGTGACCTCCAACGGGCGTGGCGGTCGTCTGCCTTTGGTTGCTTTCGATATGGAGCCCTCGTGTGCAATGTTCAAGAAGTTGCGCGATCTTGACAAGGATATGTTGAGGTCTCTCGACCTGCCCATCAGGGGGCTGTGGCAGCGTGGAGGCGGCGTGGACCCCGAGCATCTGACGGCGTATGATCCGCAGGTGGTCAACTGCATGCTGTGGAAGCATGACGTTTGCGCTCTGTCGCCACCGACCCAACGGTTCGTTGGCGTGTCGCTGCATTTGGACAAGTCATACAGACATTGGCGACAGATGTATCGTCGAGAGCGGTTGTGTGTGCGGTTTCTTCTGGAGCCTCGGTCTTCTTCTCGGTCCGTGCCTGTCTCTTTGACGGACGGTGCGGGGGGGTCGTCTGGGGCGTCGCAATCCGGGCCTGCTGTCGATGTGGCCACGTCTGCTGGTGGCTGGTCTGCGCGTGTTGTTCGTGCATTGATGAGTGGGCGGCTGTTCGCGGTGGACCAGGGCAGTCTTCTTGCGGGGTGGGACAACAAGTGTCTTCTCTTGTCTGTGGCCGCGGCAGGCGGCGACGCGTGGTCCATGACCGACGCCAACGAGTACTTCTCAGAGCGGTGCCAAAACAATGCTGGGGCGTCCTCCACGGGCACGGCGTTGGAGCGGCATAACTTTCAGATCGTTCTGGAGTGGCTGGCCCACCGCAATGCGAGTTTTTGGGTTTACGAAACTGAGAACTCACGCGCGTTTCTGCGTGGGGAGTGCACCGGCAGGTGGCGTCTCGGCGGTGTCTCGGCGCCCTGCGCTGGCGCGCTCGCGTGGTTGCGGGGTGGCCATGTCGTGAGGCTCCACGATGTGGACGCTCTGCTCTCTGCGGATGCGGGAGCACCTTTCGCTGGTGTGGCGTTTTTCCCACCGTGGGAGCGAACCGTCGCGGGTGCGATTCGCCGCAGGCAGAGGCGTTTGGCGTCGAGTGCATGTCGGCGTGGCGCGCTGCAGGGTGGGGCCCCGAAGCGCCGTGCGGAGCAGGTTGTCGCCAGGGCGAAGGGGGCGCGCGGGGTCGCTCGCGATGGCGTGGACGCGGCGGCGTTGGCCCGGGTGAGTTATTCGTCCCTGGAGGCTCTGGCCAAGCGATTGCGGAGCGACCGCGAGACTGGGGTGCCGGCGTCGCGGCGCCGTGTTGGCCTGGAGCGCAAGCGATTGGACATTGAGGTGTACAGGGCTGCGCTTGCGGCGTACCTGGGCATCGACATGGGCGGTGTCCAACATGCTGGCGCGGAGGCGCGAGCGAGGGAGTATGTGCGCTCGATGCTGGGCCGCATCGAGGAGCGCGTGGAGGTGCACGGCCACCTGCCGAAGAGGTACTCAGTGAACGCGGAAGAGGCAGAGCTCGCGCAGTGGATCTGTCATGTCAGCCAGGGACAGAACCAGCTGGACAAGGACAACCAGGTGCGTTTCGACGGGCTCGTGAACCGGTGGGAGGGGAGGCGCGCGCGAGCCCGCGCGATGCTGGACCGCATGGAGGAGCACGGGGAGGTGCTCGACGAGCTGCCGATGCGCGGGGCTGACGACGAGGAGGAGGCGGCTCTTGCGAAATTGATAAATAGTGTCAGCACTGGCCGCATCGAGTTGGATCATGACAACAAGCTGAGGTTCGATCGTTTGGTGGACAGGCGTGCGTGGCAGCGGCGGGCGGCGCAAGAGCGCGTGCTCGCCGTGAGGGCTTTCGTGGAGACGCACCGGCGAGGGCCGCGGCGCTCAGTCCACGCTCCGCGGGAGCGTCTTCTTGCAAGATGGATCGAACGCGTGCGAGCTCCCTGCGTGGAGGTCTTGGACGAGCAATGGCGCGCACAGCTGGAGGCCGCGCTGGACGCTGATCTCATTCAAGTCCAGGCGCTCGAGGCGTCGTGCGAAGAGCATCAGAGGATGCCAGGGGAGAAGGCGGTGGATGACGAGGAGCGCAAGCTGGCCAAGTTCATCGCGAACCGCGAGCGCGGGGACCGCGAGGCGTCGTTCAACGCGCACGACACCTTTGACGCGCTGCGGCAGAAGCGTGTGCGCAGGCGGCCGCCGCCTCTACACTCAAGTGGCCGCGGGAGGGGGCCACCTGGTGCTGCTGGGGAGCGACGGTGCGGCCGTGGCCTTTGCTGCAATCGCGACGGTCAGTGCGAGCTCCCGGCGCTGGACGGGGAATTGACCTGTTCGCGCGTGGCCGCCGGATGCGCCCACACGGTGCTGCTCATGAGCGACGGCGCGGCCGTGGCTTGCGGCCGGAACGGGGATGGACAATGCGAGCTCCCCGTGCCGGACGAGGACTTGACGTATTCGCAGGTAGCCGCGGGACGCGTCCACACGGTGCTGTTGCGGAGCGACGGCGCGGCGGTGGCTTGCGGCGGGAACGATAATGCGCAGTGCGAGCTCTCCGCGCCGGTGGGGGGCGTGACCTACGTGGCCCACCTGCTCCCGGCGTTGCTTCTGCAGGCGTCGGTCCAGGGCGAGTCGATCCGCTTCGTCTCTGCTGGCGGGGTGGAGCGCTGCAGGATACTTGGAGCAGGGCCCACCGTTCGCCTCGCGGACATCTTCGGCCAGTTGACGACCAGCCATCGCGCGGCCAGGTGGGGCCCCGGTGTCTGGCGGATTGACGCGGTCCTGCCTGATGGTCGCCTGCTCAGCAGCGTGGCGGCCGAGGAGACGGTCGCCGGCGTCTTCGGGCCAGGCTGAGACGGAACCCTGCTCGCGCCGTGCTTCCTTTTCTCCCTGCGCCCTCCCCTCGCCTCCCCCTCGCTTCCACCTCCTCTCCTTCCCTCTTCCCTTCTTGCTCGCCCACCTCCTTTCCTTTCCCCTTTTCCCTTCTCGGCTCACTCGCATCTTGCCCTCGCGCTTCCTTTCCTTTCCCTCCTCGCCCTCCTCCACCAGACATCCGACGCGTCTGGGAGGTTTCCCGGGGGCCGTCTTGGGCCCCATTGTTCAAAAAGAGGGGGTCCCCTGATTCCCGTCGCCCCGTCGGAGGTTCAACAATGGCGTCTTGGGGCCCTCTTGGGCCGCGCTTGGGGCGCTCTTGGGCGCTCTTGGGGCGCTCTTGGGGCCGCCCCTGCCGCGCGGCGGCAGCCGGGGCCGCAGCCGCAGTCGCGGACGCCCGCCCGGGGCCCCCGGGGGCCGCAGCCGCGAGGCGGGGCGAGCGGGCGACGAGGTGGTCATCATGAGCGTCTTCGGCCCCCTCTGGGTTGCCCGCCCGCGCGTGTAAAACAACCGCTTCGCTTCGCTTCGCTCATTCCCCCGGGCCATGTTGGAGGCGTCTTGGGCTGTCTTGGGGCCGTGCCTGGGTTGTGGGTCAGAGTCCGCGTGGATGTCTCTTGGGGTTTCCTTGGGGAGTTCAGGGGTGACCCCTGGTGATTAGTTTTGGGGTCCTTTGGGGGGCTTCCTCAGGGCTTCTGGGGAGCCTCATGGGGCTGTCGTGCGGCGTCTGGGGGATTCCACTGGCGGCCTCCAGGGGGGCCTTTGCTTGAGGCTGCTGAGAGGGCCTCCCGGAGAGCTACGAATGCATTGAGAAAGCCCCTCGAGACATCATCGTGGAATCTCAGAAGATGTATGTTTGATGTGTTCACACATAAAAGCTTACTACTAAGACGAAACAGCGCGTTAGGAGCTGCGAAACAATTCAAAACGATTCCATTTTTACGCTTTATACATCTTCTCCTCAGGTCGGGGCGACCAACTACCTGTGCCCTTCACATGGATTCCTTCACTCTCGTTGCGCATCGGTGGCGGATTAGATTGAGAGCTCGCGTCGATTCGCCGACCCATCCTACCGCCGGCCTGCGTTGCATTGCGCTGCGTTGCATGGTTCCGGGGGCGTGTCTGGAGCCTTCTCTCGGGCGTCGGAGGTCCTGAGAAACCCCCGTCGCGGTCTTTGGATTCAGCGGGGGGGGGGGGGGGGGGGGGGGGAGGGGAGGAGGAGGAGGAGGAGGGGGAGGAGGAAAAGAAGGAGGAGGAGGATGAGGAGGAGGAGGCGGAGGCGGAGGAGGAGGAGGAGGAGGAGGAGGAGGAGGAAAAGGAGGAGGAGGAGGAGGAGGAGGAGGAGGAGGAGGAGGGGGAGGAGGACGACGAGGGGGAGGAGGAAAGGAGGGGCCGCGTGGCCCTCGTCGTGCCGAGGTCTGGCGTCAGATGGATGTCCAATGGGGGGCCTCTTAGTTCCCGCCCGCCCAAAATAATCCATGGGCTTTTGCCGCCACCGCTGGCTCGCGTTGCTCTGCGTTGCATTGCGTGGTTCCGGGGCGCGTCCGGAACCGTCCCGGGGTGTAAACGGGTTGCAGGTGGCCACAGGGAAACGCTGCAGTCTTGCGCGCGCACGGCGCGGTCATCTGCGTGTTGAGACTGAGGAGGAGGAGGAGGAGGAGGAGGAGGAGAAGGGAGGAGGAGGAGGAGGAGGAGGAGGAGGAGGAGGAGGAGGAGGGGGGGGGAATGAGGAGCAGCAACAGCAGCAGGAGCAGCAGCAGCAGCAGCAGCAGCATTTGATCCATGCTCCCCCCGCTCCTCCTCCCTCCCTCCCTCGAATCCTCGTCCTCCTCCCCCTCCTTCTCCTCCTTCTCCTCCTCCCCCCCCCCCTCCTCCTCCTCCCTCTCCTCCACCCTCCTCCTCGATGAGCCTTGGATGCTCACCCCCTGGACGCCCCCCCCCCCCCCCCTCTCCTGGGGCCACTCTGAAGCCCACCGCTTCCATTTGCCATCCTTTGAGGATCCGTATTCAGGGGCACCCTCGCATTTATGCTACGTGGAAAGACGAGACGCTCAATGCTCTCCTAGCCAATTTGGCTGAAGCATCCCACGCAGCGGCATTCGAACGAGGCGTGTTCAACCGCCTGGATCTCCAGGTGGCGCTGGGCATAGGCGTTGGTCGATCTTCCTGATGGCTTGTGCCGTGCTTCTTGTGGCGCTGATGGTGGTGCACGTCAGCGCGACTGTCGACCCCGCAGTTCCAGAGTGGGTCGCGCAGCTGGCGTCGACGAACGCCGACCAGACACGCTTCGGGACATTACAGTTCGTTGCGAGTACTGTTCCTGGCTTGCTTCGCTCAGGATCGATAGTGGCATAAGCTCAACGCATTCGCTCCTGGGTGTCTGTAAACCCGTGCGCGACGGTTGGATTCGCCCTGGAACTCGTCGCGCTCGCACGGGCGCATATACCTACGAGCATATGCCACGCACCTTCCCCCAGGCAAGATCGCCACAGACCTTGACTTCGCTCATATCTTCAGTGGGCGGGATAGCCCAGGCAAAGCAATGCTGCG